CATTTCCTCATTCCTTTTCTTTGGCTGGTAATCTCTGATTCCTTTATCTGAGTACTTAGAGCATGTGGCAGCACAAGGCTTTGCCAGGTAGGAATCAGGCAGGAAGGGAGTGCCGTGTGGGACCCGGGGCCTTCTGCACTGGAGCCCTTCTCCTGCCTCTTGGAAGGATGGTGCTTGCCCTTCCAGCAGCTGGGGAAGACCCTGTGGAGCAGGAGGAGCTGACTGCAGGCTCAGGGCAAGATGGGGCAGGGCTGCAGCCTTTCTGCTCTGAAGGCTGGGCAGCCTGGGGCAGCTTTTTCCTCTTGATGGAATCCCAGGGGGTGATCCTGATGCGGCTGCATCTGTGGAAGTTTTGTCCCTTGAAAGTCACGTGCACTGACTCATGATCCTGTTGACTCGGGACTAGTCCATGGTGCATTTTCGGAGTGTACAGACTTCTTCTTGGGTCCTGAATGGCATTTTTCACATTTATTGGAGGACTTTACCCCATAAATAAACTCATTATTCATTAATGATGTGGGAGATTGCTCAGGCAAGGGGAACAAACTGCCCAGAGCTGAGCCCCCTCAGCCCTGCTACAGAAGGCAAATTGTTGCCTGAGCGAGGAAATGAGCCGAGACTTAGCTACACGCAAATGATAGGCTTTGAGGATTTTTCCAAATTCATAATGCAATAAATCAACAAATTGAAGATGTACTTCTTGGCACTGTCCAAAGCCCTGATGGTGAGACAGACTGTGCAATGAGGAGAGTCAGTGTAGCCCCAAGCCCTTCTAAGAAAGGGAAGGATGGGGAGAGAAGTAAGTTTTACAGTTTGGGTAAATATTGCAATGTGATGCTCTGCAGAAAGCCCACAATTTTCAATTGCAGTCACCACTTCTGGCTATTCCCCCAAATTCTTTGCAGCCCCCTGTAGGGTTTGGAAGGGGATGGTCAGTGCCTGGTCCCCGCAGGGTTCTGTCTGATGGAGTAATCAAGATGTGCAACGGTGTGGGGGAATTTCTGTTTCATTGGTGAGAGTGGGAGGGTGGTTAAACCTTAGAATTGTGATCAGTGTTGCCCAGAGGGATTAGGTTTGGTCCTTCAGACAAGTGGGTCCAAACTGCGTTAAATAAATCACGGTGGCTCCTCGCTCAGCCCGTTGTTTTTCTCAGGCACAGCACAGGGAATGGTGCTGGGGCAGGGGGTGGGAAGCAGGGTCCTGTGTGGGTTGTGGCTTCTTCTCTGGAGACTTGGAGCAGCATTAAAAATCCATCTGGGGCAGGTGATTTATATTCTGACAGCGATCACACTGTTGTGCTGGCAAGGTGTATCAGTATGCAAAATACAGCTCCAGCTCCTCGTTCCTGTGTGCCCTTCCCACTGTAAACAGGTTTTGTGTCAGTGTGTGTGTCTGGAGATGGATTATGGAGCTCCATGGGGGTTGAATGTTTTCTGTGTGCAGGGTGGTGATCCCACAGCAAGTGGAAATCTGTGTGATGCTGGACCTCAGTCATCTTCATGGAGAGTTACTGCTGGGGCTCAGATCATGGAATCAGGGAATTGTTAAGCTTGGAAAAGACCTCCAAGATCGTGAAGTCCCACAATTCCCCAGCACTACCAAGTCAAGCACTAATCCATGTCCCCAAGTGCCGCATTGACATGTCTTTTAAATCCCTCTAGGGATGGGGACTCCACCACTGCCCTGGACAGCCTTTTCCAGGGCTGGACAACCGTTTCTGTGAGGAAATTTTTCCTAGGATGTATGGGGATGCGTTATTGGTCACTGTTCACGCTCCCTCTAACCATGGCAGTGCATCTGACAGACAGTTTGTTAAATCCTGAGGTCTTTTCCATACAGGTCAGTGTAGCAGGTGAACAGGGCATGGCTGTGACTGGTGCTTGGAATCTGCTGTGGTAACACCAGTTGTGGGATGGGAAGTGGGACCTCCCTGCAGGGAAGGGTTGTTTGTCCCCTGTGAGCAGCTCTAGGGCTGTGCTCCTTGCTTGTGCCTTGTAAGGAGAATGTTTGTTCTCCAGCCTTACCTTCCAAGCCCATGGATGAAAGTTGGATCATCTGAATTACTCTTTTTGCAGTGTAATTTTTTCCCAAGCCCAACACTCCGTGACTGTGGTACTGTCCAGGAAGCAGCTCTGGGAGAAACTTCTTCCCACCTCTGCAACTGCAAAGACCACACTGGCTTCTGTTTGGTCTGTATTTTGAATGAAAACCCAAGGAAAAGCAAGGTTTGCTAAAATTGGGGGGCTTCCATACACTAGTGCTTCTCAGGGGCACTTCATACAGCTCAGGAGATCATGTCAGCTCCTGTGGCCATGGCCCGAGTCTGAACTTAACCTTGACATCAGGATGAAGATAATTCCTTTATCTGATTGCAAGTGAGGAAATACATTTCTTAAAGTAATTAATGGTCCCTGAAGAGTATCTTTTTATTAGCATGTGTGTGTGTGAAACCGTCCAGTCTATAAATACACAGTAATTTCCTCCTCAGCACCAGCAGGACCCATCCCAGCTCTGCAGTTTCTGTCCCGTGGCACTTGTTTGCATCAGGAGGACATGATGGGGCAGGACCACGCTGGGTCAGGAGCCCAGCGAGGCAGGATGGGGAGCCAGAGATCACATTTCATGGAAAGTTTTCCTTTTTGTTGAAGTCTGTCCGTGGGGGTGATTTCAAAACCCAACCAAGCAGTAGTTAAAAGTGCTCATACCTGCAAGCGCACCCAGACCCGGCGCTGGGGGGGTGTGTGTGGTGTTGGCTGCCAGCTCGCAGGCAGTTTGCTGTGCTGTGTGTCATTAGGGCTGTGTTAATTGCAGGAGATGCAGTGGGGCAGGGAGAGGGGAGGTGGGAGGTGGTGTGTGCTGCATCCTGGCCAGCTTGGGCAGGAGGCTCTGCCCGTACTTGCCGCTGCTCCTGCCTGCTGGCTGCCGCACGCCTGCGTGTGTGCCCCAGTCTGCTGCAGCAGCACTAACCATTACCTTAGGGAAAGGTAATTATTCCCGGAGAAATCATAGCTGGTGAACGAGGAACTGTGCTTAACTGCTTTCACGCTGCTCTGAATGTTTGTTTGATCTTCAGTCCCTTTGCTGGTATGGTGCTGGCAATGGCCCTGGTGTCCTCCCAGACACAGGGGGTCTGGCACTGCAGCCAGCATTCCTAAATCCATGTCAGGATCAGGGACAGCTAAGACTGTGATAGATAAAAATCACAGAATAGTTTGGGTTGGAAGGGACCTTGAAGACTGCAGGGACATTTTCCATGAGACCCGGTTGCTCCAAGCCCTGTCCAACCTGGCCTTGGACACTTCCAGGGATGGGGCAGCCACAGCTTCTCTGGGCAACCTGTGCCATGGCCCCACCACCCTCACAGGGAAGAATTTTTTCCCAAAATCCCATCTAACCCTTCCCTCTGGCAGTGGGAAGTCATTCTCCCTTGTCCTGTCCCTCCAGGTCCTTGTCCAAAGTCCTTCTCCAGCTCCCTTTGAGCCACTTTAGGCCATGGAAGGGGCTCTCAGCTCTCCCTGGAGCCTCCTCTTCCTCCAGGATGGACAACTCCAACACTTGTGCCCTCTTCACATGAACCCAGGCTATCCATAGTATAAATATGTGAACTGGGCTCACAAAGTATGTGTCATTTTGACAGTCTGAAATGTTTTACTTTTTTATTTAACAGTTTTCCTCTGGTCATTGGGTTGCCCAGAGGTTTATGATGAAGTTACCAGTAAATTGTATGTTATTAGCCCACTGATGTTCATAAAAAGCTGGAGGCTGCATCAGGTGCCCTTGGGAGCAGTAAATCTTTGGAAAATGTATTGATTCCCAATCTTGGCTTTGCACTCCGAATGAACTTTGTCCTCACAAAAGAATAGAAGGTGATTTTTCTTTACCAGCCAGCTGGCCTTTAAATGAGCTACTCTTGACACCACCACAAGCTCTAATCCGAGTAAACACGGACAGGATGATTTAGGAGCTGGGAAGAGGAGCCATATCAGTTTGGAATGAGGGTTAATACTTAGCAGCACGTTCTCGACTGTTGTCCTTAAATATCGCAATTGGCTTTGACTGGATGGTACAGGATCAGTGTTTTATGCCCTTTGGATCAGTGGTGGGTTTGGTTGTTTGCATTAACAGCAAAGCAACAAGCAGCAAAACGGGATTAGAGGAGTGATTTGGGGAAAATGCTGATTTCGATAATCAGATTAGAATTGCAATCTGTCTGCTTTTACACAGCAGTCAGTCTGTCAGAGAGGATGCCAGGAGATGAGGCAGGGCTCTTGGTCAGGGCTGGGCAGTGCTGTATGAGCCTGTCTTTATACTCAGCTTTATAGACACACCCTGTTGTTCAGCCTTTAGCTTTTTCTACCTAAAACTACCTAAGAAATAGGTTAAGGGTCAAGAGGCATGGTGTGGCTCTTAGGATTTCAGGGCAGGGAGCTCTCTCCTTCCTTGCAGGTTACTCTTTGTCTTGTTTTTTCCTTAAAGGGCTCTTCAGAGGTTGGGAATTGGGAAGTAACTGGTGTGGGATGGGGGCATCCAGGGGATTTAACAGCCTTAATGATGATGGAGAGGCTTTTTCTTCTGGATGTCTGCTCCCAGCTGGTGTGATGGCAAGGGCTTCTGTGAGATCAACTCCAGGGCTTTAATGAGCCCTTCTTTCAAAGTCTTAGTATCTTCAATATAGGGGATATGAATTCCCTTTCTAAATGGAGAATTCAGTGAAACTTCGTTTATTTGGCTGAAATACGTGTGTCCCTTGTGTGCTTCCCACAGCTCCTGCAAGTGCCCATCCCATTAAATGCCTCTGTGCTGATGGGGTGCAGAGGGACACCAACAACGTTTTAAGAGCCTAAAATAAGCACTCCTCAGGACTGACTGCCACCAGTGTGTTTTTTGGGCAGTGCTTGCCCCTTGCCCAGTGCATCCACCCTCCAGGCAAGTCCCTCAAGGCTGTTGCTCTCTCTCTCTGTGTGCAGGGAGTTTTCCACGCTCCGAGGCTGTCCCTGTGCATCCCCCGAGGAGCCGGCGGGGCCCAGCCTTTCCCGGGGGAACATGGACTGAAAGAGAAGCTTTGGCAGACCCCAGCTGCCAGCACCCTTCACCTGGACCCTGATGGACTCTGAGGCAGGACTGCATTACCATGGTGATGATCTTAACCAAAACTCGGGAAAACAAAGGTGCTGACTCCGTAACATGCAGGACTGAGCTGGTAAGATTTGTGAATTCTGTGTTCAAAACTATTATACTGCTGAGAACTTTGCTGTAGCTTTATAATAATTTTTTTCTGTGCTGCAGAGCTGGATCTTTAGGTGGTTTGTAGCACTGATTTCTACCAAGCTGCATTAATATCCAAGGAGCAGGTGATTAGTAAATGATTGGAGTGCTGTGGCTTTTGCATATGTAGATTTCAATAAGCATGCAGTGGGATAAACAGTAGGAAAAAAACAAATCAATGCTGTGAATAACACAGGTGAGAAGATGCTTTCCCAACAGCGAACAGATGTTCATCATTAATAGGAGGACGAGCAAGTGGGGAGCAGGATTAAGTGGGAGATGGCAAAGGGCAGCGCTGTGGTACTTTTAATTTCACTGGGAGCCTGGAGAGATGCAAATCCAATCACACTGAAGGAGCAGGCAACAACAAAAACCCAAATGAGGGGCAACAAAGAGACTAAAGGATGGGTGAACAAGGCTGTAGGGCTCAACATACCTAGGGTGGGGCAAATAGGGGGCAACACCTCTGGAGGCAGGATCAGAGCAAATGGGGGTCAGGAGTGGGGCAGGAGGAAGAGGTGCAGGGTGATGGAGAGACATCTGAGAGAGCCCAGAGCAAGGCTGGTTGTGGACACTTGTTCCTCTGTCCTCCTGGAGAGATGGTCATGGTCTGAGAAGAAATTAGACCGAAGGGCAGGGTGCACTGAGAGTCTCAGATAAGGACATGCAGGAACACAGCAGGAAGCATCTGGCAGGATTAGCCATAAATGGGCATTTTGAACCTAAAAGAAATATAAATGCCTCAGTTTGCTGAGGATGACAAGCTGTCCAGCTGGGCTCCCCGAGCAGCTAGCACAGTGTGCCGGGGAAGGCAGTCTGTCCTGGCAGTGAACAGCAGAGGAGAAGGTGAGCAAGCCAGGGGCAGTGTTTAATCTTGCCTTAAAAGGGTGACATTTTGGAAGGATTTTGATATATTAAAAGACTATCCTTGTTCTAGTGTTAGCTCCTGCTGGGAAGGCAGCATCTCCTGTGGCTGCTGCTCAGGGTGGTGAGGGGGGAGCATGAGAATCTGATGCTGGTTGTATCCCAGGAGGTGTGTGGGCAGGGGAACTGGCTGCAGAGAGGCAGATGAGAGTTCCTTCCCTACAAGAAGGGGTGGGTGCTTGTGCTGTCTGATGGCAGACAGCAGAGATGCAGAGCTGGGACACGAAGCTCTGCCCTCCCGTGTTTGCCAAGCGCTTCCCGCAGCTCTGGGGCTGGGTGGGTACTGCAGTGATGGTCCTGGGTACACAGCTGGAGTTGCTGGTTTGCCCAAGCTGTTAAATTGTGGCAGACTAATGCAGGAAGGCTGATCCACTGAAGAAAGCAAGAGTTTTTCCGTTGGCTCTGTGGGCAAGGCCAAAAAGCAAAACTGAAAGGAAATAAATGTCCGAGCAATGGGGCAATAACCCCTGCCAGCAGCCAGTGGGCTCATTTGGCTCAGTGCCCGATTTGGTATAAGCACAAAATCCTTACAAAATGGTAATTATACTCAATATGGGACACATGTTGTATTCTTCTCCCTCCTGTATTTGCAGACAGTGGCTGGTCTCTGAGGCTGGCACACAAATGTGCTCTGGCACAGCCACTGCCTTCTCTGGGACTTGTCCCACTTCCACCTTTGCTCCACTTTGGCCACTCTTTGGAGACAGCTGCCTGTCCTCTCTAACCCCTGATTAATTCTACCTGCCACTTCCTAAAGTGGGGCTTGGCAGATAGAAAAGTGGCACATGCTCCAAAGAAGGTGACTGACTGTTATTTCCCTTCACCACATCTAACACCCCATAGTTGCTTTCTGCCTTCACATCCCTCTATATTCAATATTTACAGCATTCTGTATATGAAGTGGGATCCTTTATTGGATTGCTCTGTACAGACAGGTGCCATCATTTGGTACACTATTATGATGATGATGATGATGATGATCCTCATCATGCACTGGAGACACTGGCACAGGTTGCCCAGAGAAGCTGTGGCTGCCCCATCCCTGGAAGTGTCCAAGTCCAGGTCGGACGGGGCTTGGAGCAACCTGGGATAGTGGAAGGTCCTGCCCATGGCAGGGGGTTGGAACTAAATGGTCTTTAAGCTCCCTTCCATTCTGTGATTCCATGGTTATGAGAGCAGGCAACGTGTAAAACCTGGATCAGGAGAGGAGGTGTGAATGCAGTGGCCTGACGCCAGATAAAACACAATTATGGCAGCGCAGATGAACGTGGAGGCCGTGCTGGTGCTCCCCTCAGATGATGTAAAGCCTCGGTCAGATGGCGTGGTGTTGCCAGGGTAGACACTTCAGAAGCCAGAATATGGATATTTTTAGGGGTAATAAAAGAACAATTAGTGCGAAAGTGTGTTTTTGCAGGCATAGCTGAAATGGCATGCAGCTGCAGATGACATATTGATTTATTATATGTAAAACCATCCATGCTCATTTTTAGAAGTCTGATGGTGTCTCTTATGCTGTCAAGAGGAAAATTCTTGGGGAAAGAAAAAAGAGTGTAAAAAGCAACTGGGATTATTTTGTACCCATATAGTGGCACTTTTCCCTATTTTTAGTGCAAATCAGCACAATCCAAGTGCAGACTCCCCAGAAATGCTGAGGTGAGACCGCCTTGCCTTAGAAACACATTATATGTTTAAAAAAACTAAATGGCTGCTTTGTACCTAGACAGGGGGGCCTTAATGGGCTTGGATGTGGTTCAGATACCACTGCTGCTGCTTTCTTGCCTAATCCAGAATTACCACTAAGCTGCAGCTCCCACTTTCCGGTGTTTTGGGTCCCGGGAGTGGGGACCTCTCTGCAGCTATTCCCATGGGTAAGGACTAACTGCAGGACCCATGATCTGCAAGCTCAGGCCTTGACAACGACTCTGCACAGCGTTCAATTAAGTTTGATTTTGTTGAGGGAAGGTGAGTGGGTCTGTCTCCTGGTCCTGTCAAAGCCAGACTGTGGCAGGCTCCCAAGGCTCTCCTCTCTGCTTTGCCGAGGCAGGGAGGTTTCTGGTGCCCAGGTCGAGTCTGCGAGAAGTGAATAGTTTTTCTGGTTGTTTGCAGCACACTCCAAAGATGAGTCAAGGACCTACCCTCTTCTCTTGTGGCGTGATGGGTAAGTAACAGAAACTTCTGTCTGTATTTACTCCACCTCTGCTCCCGCTTCCTCATAGCGATGGGCGGGAAGATGTCCTGACTAGCTGGATGTCTCCAGAAAGCACTGCCCTGCAGACTCTGGGGTGGGCACCCTGTCCCACCCCACCACCCACTGGTGGTGGCCATCACGCCTGTGCCACTCTGCTCCCCAGAGCTGCCCTGTTGCCATTGCTGAGGGAGTTGCTTGTCTCCTTTCCCCTCCCCTTTGATATATTTGCTTATTTTTAGAGTAACTCATACAGAGAGATTATAAACATTTGGGGTCTGAGGTTGCCTTTGAGTACCCAGCCCATGACCGTGGCTCTTGAATGTTTGCACGATGCAAGTAATAAATAACACTATTATCACCAAAATGTTCCACCACTTGGCACAAAGTGTTTGGACAGACCTCAAACAGCAAAGGAAAATGACTTACTTTTGCCGTTGGCAGTAACCACGATACAGGATGTTTGATGCCTTTTATGTTGAGCTTGCTATCAATTTTTATGCTGAACAGCCACCAAAATTGATGGAGGATTTGTGCCTTGGTTGATGATCCTGAAAACTGATAGTGCCAGAGGATGTGCTGTTAGGTTTAGCTCTTTGGCGTTCGTAGCGGGGAGCCAGACACTGGGCGAGGTCTCAAAACCCAATTAAAATTGTAGGTCAGGTTTGAGCCAAGCTACTTGCTGTGAAAGCCAATACTTTACAAAGAGGCTGCCCCTTCTCTTCATGGACACAACTCTCATTAGTGTTAATGAGAGCCGGGCTCATGCATTGACAGGAGATGTCTCCCAAGCTCTCTGATAGCTCCGGTCAGTTGGGGGTGCAGGGGAGATGGAGAGCATTTGGGTTCTTTTTTCAGATGAAAATCACAAGCATCAAAGTCAAGAAAGGGTAGAGACAGCCTGTTCCCTTTCTCCGGCCTGCCAAACATGAATGAGGAACAAAGGACCCAAATCAGATGGTTTTGTCTTGCGCTGTGGCACTGGCAGGCTCTTCAACAGATATGTTGAGTCTCTGCCTAATTGAAAAGCAGTTTGTCTTTAAGAGCTTCTACAAAGCCTTCTGCATCTTCCTGGCGCTGTGATGGTCTTCTGTGTCTGCCAAATCATCCTCTTTCTGAGGGAACTGAATGTCACCTCCTTGACCTCAGCTTGCCCTGTAATGGTCTTCACCATGCCAGTCAAGAGGAGCCCGTTTCTCTCCAACATGAAAGGCCATTAGTCGGCTTGGGTTTAGTTTCAGGCATCTTTCCTGAGTGTTCTTGATGCCTCCAAACATGAGCCATGATCACAGACTAATCCAGTATCAAAACTTGCTTGATTTCTTAAATAAGCCCCATGGTTATTACAGCACCAAATGCAAAACTGGGGCAATATTTCAGGCCAAAGGGCCAAGTCCCTGTTGGTGGAAAACACTGAGATAAATAAACATAGTGAAGTTTGGACTGGTAGCACAGCCAACGGGAGGCTGAGACTCATAGTCTCATGTAAGATGCTGGGGGTTTGGAGGGAGGTTGGCTGAATTTTCTGGGGTTTTAACCAGAAGAGGCTGAGGATCTTAGAACAGGGTCTTCCTGGTGCTTTTGGGGTGGGGACAGCTTTGGACAGAAAGGCAGCTCATATCTGGTCCTGGTGACCAGGGGGCAGCAGGGCAGAGGGAAGCACACGCTCTGCCAGGGAGGGCATCATCTGAACCCTGGAGTTCCCTTGTAAGGTACTAAACGCCACAAGAATTTGAAAAAGGATTATTGGTTGTAATAGAACTCAATGTATTGAGTAAACATTATTAAAGACTTGATATTAGATGATGCAATGTTAGATCCACTTCTCAAGGTGACCTAAATAATCTTTTGATTTTTAAGATTTATGAGAAATAGCCCTGCTGGTGTGATGAAGTAATTACTAAAAAGATTGGGTTATCTTTATATAGTCCTTTGCCTGGAGAAACATTAAAGGTGAAATGCCTAAAGGTATAAATTCAATAATTTCTGTTTTCCCTTCTCCTTGGTGGGTCCTTGAAACATCAGGGAGGGTAAGAATTGTCCTTTTTCCCCTTTCATTCCCCAGCTGTCTCCATTGCGTGTTCACAGTGAATATATCGATGACTCTGCTAGAGAAAGAAGGTGACATATTAGAAAGTTGGGGCATTAGGGTGGGGAGGCCCTGGCACAGGTTGCCCAGAGAAGCTGTGGCTGCCCCATCCCTGGAATTGTTCAAGGCCAAGTTGGATGAGGCTTGGAGCAACCTGGGCTAGTGGGAGGTGTCCCTGTCTGTGGCAGGGGGTGGAACTGGTTGGTCTTCAAGGTCTCTTCCAACCCAAACCATTCTGCAATTCTACTATTTTTGACTTCCTATAGTGAAATTTTTCTGTCTTTGCATGAATGACAGAAGAAAATTTACAATGTCTTAACAAGGCATTGGCAGCATTGACTGACTTTTCCCTGGAAGATATGTAAGAAGCACTCAGCCTCCAAGTTGGTAGCACCAGAGGTTGCACTAGTCCAGTCATGTATCACAGAATCACTGACTGGTTTGGGTTGGAAGGGACCTTAAAGACCATCTCATTCCATCCCCCCCTGCCACGGGCAGGGACACCTTCTACTAGACCAGGTGTCTCCAAACCCTGTCCAACCTGGCCTTGTAAGGGGAGCTCAGTGGGCGTGTGCTGACAGCTGTGGCCTCCTGTTTTCTGTGTAAGCAAGAAATTATCTTTGAGGTGAGCTGCAGGCAGGGTTTTATTAAGGCTGTGACAAGGTGCTTGCTCATGCAGTCGCTGTGGCTGCAGGATCAGAGTCCTAGAGTGGCATCACGTGCACAGGCCTGGTTGTAAAAGGGAGGAGGATGGGTTTGAACCCATTGGGGACAGATCCTTAATACATCTGCTGTGAAGTGCTCTTCAAAGTAACCATCATTTCCTTTTTCCCTGGGAGAGCACACTCAGAATTTGTCCTTGCAGGGCACTGTGGCAGAGTGGGGTGATGGATGAAGCACACAGGTCAGCTTGTCTGTCCTTTGGGACTCTTCTCCACCAGCACCATTTGGCAACACCATCGTTCCAAGTGTGCCAGGGGTTGCAGCCTTGGGTTCACTGTTGCACACCCCTCACTTGGAAGTGGTTTTTCACCCTGTGTGGGCGACAGAAGAAAGCCAAGAAAACAGAAGAAAAGCCAACTCATGGAATCCTTAGGGCTGGAAAAGTCCTCCAAGATCAAATCCAACCTTTGAACCCCTTCATGGAGATGATGCCCCTTAGTTGCATCCTGAAAGCACTTGCTGGGCTTGCATGTCTCCTGTTGCTGAACCAGGCTTTCCTGGAATTTTGGGGTATTTTTTTGGAAAGGCCTTCAGTGCAGAGCAGCATCTTGATGCATGTTCAAGCACAGGCAACCCACAAAGAGAAAAAGCCACACAAGGAATTCTGGTGAGGTGTAGCTGGAGCGGGGAGACCTCACCAGAGAATTACATTGAAGAACAGGGCACGTTTTGCCATCGAGGTGGGGAATTTCCCTCCCCCATGCAGGCTGTTGGCATGAGCAACCTGCAGCCCACAGGTGTGTTTATTCTCCAGAGTAGATTTTGGGGCCGTTGTTTTCATTTCCCATTGAAGCACAGTCTGTGCATCATATTTTCCTCTTATTTCTGCACTGGGAAGGCTCTATGGCACTGCCATCAGCTAATTACAGCCATTAAATGTGTTCCACATTTAGAAATTATCTCTTGAACGTAAACAGGGGGCAGTGGAAAATGTAGGCTGCCTTTCCACCGTGCATGGGGATTGTGAGACCAAAATCCAACCTGAACAGCATGTGAAAAAAGGGAATTGGATGCACACCTGTGTGGAGAGAAATGTTTGGGTTAAGATCCAAACAGAATTTATCTGCCAAAAAGGATAAGAAAAATTGATTGAAACCCCTAATTGCTTTACAAGTTGCTGTAATAAATTATGTATTAATGTAAATTATTTCACGGGAAAAGAACGTAGAGGAGACTTGAGCAGAAGGATCATGCATTATGTATAAAAAAGAACTGTAAAAATATTATAGCAGCACATTTGTGTCGCTGTAGTTAAAGTTGTGTCAGCGTTTTGGTTTTACACCCTTCTCTGTGGTTATGAGAGTGGTCATTAAAATTTACTTGGTGTCACCAGAGGAGCATTTAAAAAGCCTGGGGCTGTCCTGGAGCTGCAAAGTGCCCGACGTGTCCATGAGCTGCTCCTGCAAAACCTGGAGCTCAGCATTTGGAAGCCTGGCTGCGATGCTCTGAGGATGGATCCTGCTCTCTGTGGGGGCTGTGTGGAGGACAACACTCATCTCCTTGATTTCGGGATGTGACTCGAGCCCACGAGTGCCTCGTGCCCCGGACCCCTGGCTTCGTTTGTTGCGGTGCAGGTTGCATGAGAGAACAGGTGGCTGTTGCTGAGGTGTTAGTGTTTGCTTTTGCAGTTTTAAGTCAAAATCCAGAAGTAAGGTGCTGTTTCATCCAAGGACACTAACAGCCAAGAAGGACCTGTTTAAGCGGGGGGGAGTCCCTTGAATCACACTTACACTGTGCTCTGGTTGCCCCGTCATTTTCCAATAGGCAAAGGAGAGTTTCCCAGTGAAACATCTCACTTGCAAATCAAGGGATTCTTATGGTGGGTTTTATCCTGGAACAAATTACTGCCTCAGGGTAAACCAGGCTGAGGTTTGTAATTTAAGAAAATTAATACATGTTTAACTGCAGTAGAATTAATGGCTCCAGTGCAATTATTGTTATCAGCGTGCGCAGGATGGGAATCTTACTCTTAAAAATTTGAGCAGAAAACCAGCTGCTTTTCCTCAATAAGGCTTTCCAGAGTTCTTTAATTACACCTTCAGCCCTCAGATTACCCAATTTTCAAACTCTTTCAGTGAAACCTGCTTTCTGTTTGCACTGAAAACCCATTTTCTGGAATATTTGCCACTTTGGGACTGGTCAGTGATGTCCATGGGACTGGGGGGGCCAGGCTGTGCCAGCTCTCATGGTGCAAGGGGAAAAGCAAATTACCCCAAACTGGGGGCTGGGGACAGTGGTGCTATTACCATTTTCTTTACAAGGTTTGGAAGATTTATAGCTGTTTGTGCTGAAGCAGGGGTGAAAGAGGAAGGTGTCCCGTATCCTCCTCACCAAGGCCCTTTGTACAGTCTCCGGCCAGAGGATCGTGGCAGCTTGCCATGAAAAATCGGCTTCTATTTCTGTTTCTTTTGTCTGCTGACCTGACCTAAGAAACCTCTCAGCTGGCAGCATAATACAGAGGAAAAATAATAAAGATCTAAACATAGATGAAGTTGTTTAGCACACATTTCTCACTTTTCATTGTGTTTATTAAAATGAGGAGAGCAGCAGTTGAAATGCCATGCGGTTACTGCGGGCAGAGCCAGGCTGTTTGTGGCTGGAGCTGGAGGCAGGGAGAAATGGGAAAGTTGGCCAAGAGTGGTGTAAGGGGCCCCAAATCTGACCTCCTGACTTGAAACCTTTGTTGAAAGCACTCCCTACCGCTGCATCTTCCCTACCAGGCTGGTACCTGCAGCTGCGGGCTGGGTACGGCTTTGAATTCATCCTTCGGTTGCCTGAGTGGAAATACCCAAAAACCCCCCAAAAATATTGCATGGCTCAGATACAATCATGTGAAACTTGGCAGTGACGGTTGGCTGGCACGGTTGGCCTCTGTTTGCAGCAGCCGACGACAAAAACAGGCACCGGTGAAAGTCTGTTGGGTGATGACTTTTTTCCATTGCAGCAGCCGGCGGGGTTGTCCTACCATGGTTTTCCTGTTGAGCGTCAGTGGTGTATCTGCAGAGAGCCCTGTCCGCCTGAGCAGCCCGGGCAGGGCAGCCCAGCCTTGGCAGTGCTTTGCTTTCTTCTTTTGTTGTCAGCGGGACGTGTGTGGGAATGAGATCATCATCCTTGATCCTCTCTTTGGCATGGTCATTGGTGGGAAGCTGGGGAAGGGGCTGGAGCACCAGGAGCGGCTGAGGGAGCTGGGGGGGGTTCAGCCTGGAGAAAAGGAGGTTCAAGGGGGACCTTCTCACTCTCAATAATTAACTGAAACGAGGGTGTAGCCAAGTGGAGGTCGGTCTCATCTCCCAGGTAACAAGTGACAGAACAAGAAGAAACACCCTCATGTTGCACCAGGGAAGGTATAGATTGGATATTAGGGAAAATTTCTTCATGGAAAGGGTTGTCCAGGGCATTGGTGGAGTCCTCATCCCTGGAGGGATTTAAAAGCCATGTAGATGTGGCACTTGGGGCCACTTGGTGCCCTTGGCAGTGATGGGGGAATGGTTGGGCTAAATGACCTTGGAGAGCTTTTCCAACCTAAACAATTCTGTGTTTCTATGATTCTATTCTATGATTCTATGATTTCTGAATACAGCTGTAACCATGTTTGCAGTCTTCCTCCATGAAGCTGCCTGCAGCCCTATACATCTCAGCCTGCAGACTTTGGAGGTCCAGGTTTCTTGGAGCTTTACCCAGGCACTGCAAAACCCACCTGATGAAAGGAATATCTTTATGCTGACCCTGAAACCATGCAACAGGTCACCACCATCTTTTGCTGTGCTGCACTGAAAGATATTAATAAAGCCAAATTTGCATGAGGAACAAATTCCCCTGTAAATAGGATGAATGAAATAGAGAGGAATAAATAAATAAGTCTATGTATGAGAGGAATAAAATAAGTGGGGTTTTTTAAATGGTGACCCTATTAAGCAGTTTGTTCCTTTAAATAAATGCTCAGCCTTTTGTTTCTTAGAGAAATGCAAACAATTGGCTGTGCTAGGTACACCTGGGATCTTTAAGGCAACCCCAAAGGGATGCTAAACCCAGGTTGCAGCAGCAGAGTAGGAGAGTGTGGGTAGCCAGTGTCCATAGCACCTTCCTGCTCCATGGGGTAACTGGACAGGGGGGCACCTGGGTCAGAGCACCCAGGTGACCAGAGATTTTGAGGAATGAAGGGAAGATGGATGATAAGCCTCAAAACAGGGACCTAAGAACAACTTCTTGCATGGCTTCTGTTTTGACACTGTCTTGGGCTCAGTTTGGGAGAGGTGCTCAGAGCCTTAGTGGGGATAAGTTGGTTTCGTTGGAGCAACACTGTTTTAGCAGTGGATGAGAGCAGGACAGCTCGATGGGTCTTGGGGTGGCTTTTGGTTTCTTGTAGGCTCTGGTGACCTTGTTGGGGTTTCTGTGCTACGCCAGGCAGATAGGCAGATCAGTGCCCATTGGGACACCCCCCTTTCTATTAGGACCATCCCAACACCTCTCTCGTCTCCTTTCTGGTGTTTTGTCCTCCAGGGTCTATCTTGCCCCAGGTTTGTACTCTTCACTTCCAGTTTTCTGTGAACCTTTCGGGCAGTTATTGGTTGTGGAAGCCAGGACAAACCGCCCACATCTGAGACGTGATTTAGCACAGAGACAACCAATGGCCACACCATTTTATACTGCTGAATTCCCCTCAGCCAGTGAAATCTGGAATATCCAAAGCCATGTTTTCATCTTCTTCTAGCAGTTTTGCTCCTGCTGGGATTGTCACTTTGTCTCTCTCTCCACCTACACTGTACAACCTGCTCTGCTGGCAGTTCAGAAAACCATATTCCAAGAGTTAATTAATTTGTACTGGAAAACGTCCCATATGCTACTCTTTTGTTTATGGACATAGAAGAGCGAAATGCAGAATTAATTAACGCTAATGCCTGTGCGTGTGTGTTGTTTGTTTTTTTGTTTTTTGTTTTTTTTTTTTTCCTCCTTTCTGAACCAGAAAATGACAGATGGAGAGATCTCAGCAGGAAGTGTCCACTTCAGCTCGAGCAGCCGGGCGCCAGCATCTGGGACTGCTTGTCGGACAAGGGCGAGGAGGGCCCTCGCTGGCCCAGGGAGGGGACCAGCACCTGCTCTGTCACCAACCTGATCAAGGACCTGAGCCTCAGTGACCCCCACGGCAACGCCTCGGCCCCCCCCAGCAAGCGCCAGTGCCGCTCGCTCTCCTTTTCCGACGAGATGTCGGGCTGCGGGACCTCGTGGAGACCCCTGGGCTCGAAGGTGTGGACGCCGGTGGAGAAGCGCCGGTGCTACAGCGGGGGCAGCGTGCAGCGCTACTCCAACGGCTTCGCCACCATGCAGAGGAGCTCCAGCTTCAGCCTGCCCTCGCGCTCCAACCCACTCTGCGCCGAGCATCCCGCCCTCGGCGGACGGATGGGGTGCCAGCCCAGGAAAACGGCTGCTGGCGGGCACGGGGGAGAGCGGGTGGACATCCAGAGGTCCCTGTCCTGCTCGCATGACCGCTTCTCCTGCTCGGAGTACGGCCCGCCCTCGGCCAGCAGCACGCCCGCCTCCACGCCGGAGCTGGGCCGCCGTGCCGGGGGGCTCTCCCGGAGCCGCTCCCAGCCCTGCGTCCTCAACGACAAAAAGGTGGGAGTCAAGCGGCGGAGACCAGAGGAGGTGCAGGAGCAACGGCCCTCGCTGGACCTCGCCAAGATGACCCAGGTAAGAGGCGGCGGGGCCGTCCCTGCGAGGGGGCTCGGCAGCGAGGGGACATAAAGAGCTGTTCTCTGCTTTGCTAAAGAGCTTTTAGCATCCTCCAAGGTGGGTCTGTGGCACACAGAGTAACGCAGGGGTTACAGGGAAAGACATCCTTCTGTCCGAGCAGAATATCCATTCCCTTCCAAATGGACTTCTTTCCTGCATTTCTGTTCTACACTGATTTTTGCACAACCAGTCCACCATGTCGTTGTTTCCTGCTGGCACAGGTTTCAAGCAGGAATATGTTAAACCCCACAGTTTTGAGTTCAGGTGAGAGGAGTCCTGGGCCTGCCATGGCGAGATGAAGGCAGCACCCCAAGGCACCCAGCCCTGGCTCCATCAGGAGCTTAATTCTTACTGCTACGGGCTTTACTTGCTCCTAGCCTCTGTAATTTTCCACTCTGGAGATGTTATCATGTTTCATTTTCAGTTCCAAACACAGAGCACAACCTCCCTCTTCAATCTGCCATGCAGAGCCAGATAACAGATCTGAAGCACAAATCAGGGAGCGTTTTGCTCCTGGGTCTTCTCCCTGCAGGACCAAATGACTGGGCTCTAGTGAGAAACAGAGCAAGAGGCTGCATCAAAGGACAGCATGAGCAACGTTTCCATTTCACACTCATAAGGTTTCTTTTCCTGCAGTTTTATGACTTGACATTTCCCACATAGGTAATTTATAGTCATGAAGCCAGTGATACCACCAGCTCTGTGTAGGATGGAGATAACAGGGGTGTGAAAACCCCAGGGCTCCCACTGTGGCAGCAGGGGCACCCTGGCCACCTCCCGGGGTGAGCTGTCACCTTCTGCTGGCCAGAAAACTTCCCTCACGATATGTGGTTGCCTTCTGTGCTTCATTCCAGAGTCAACTGTGACGGGAGCATCTGCCCTGATGCTTTTTTTTAGGGCCAGCAAAGCCTGTCTGGTGCAAGGCATCCCCTTGTTGTTTGCAGGAAAACTGCTGGGAGCAATTCAGCAGGTGGGATGGAGAAACAGCTGGGAAATACCCAGTGGTTGACATCCACTGCTGTGTGTGCATTTTCTCCTTACAAAAACATGATATTTTATGGTCTTTCAAGAACATGATATTTTATGGTCTTTCAAGAGCATGATATTTTATGGTCTTTCGTGCCTGGCAGAGCAGAGGGTGTTTGAAGGAGTGCAGTGGTGTTGGAGCAAGAGATAAGCTTTTCCTACTCCAGAGGAGCTTAGAGGATAAAAAGGGCAAGGGAATCCTGCATTTGGGTCATAGCAGGGGGATAACACAAGGATTGCTCTTGTCTTTTGATAAATCACAGCAACAACATTTAATATGCTAAACTTCTTTTATTAGATAATAAGCTGGATGGGCAGTAAAAACCACTTACAAGTGTTACTGTATTTTACTAGCCACAGGGTGGAATAGCACAACTGTCCCCTCCTAATTCCCTCTGTACAAGAAGGCACATGTCGTTTCGCCTCCTTGGAAGTGTCCAAGGCCAGGTTGGATGGGGCTTGGAGCAACCTGGTCTAGTGGAAGCTGTCCCTGCCCATGGCAGCAGGGTGGAATGAGATGATCTTTCATGTCTCTTCCAACCCAAACCATTCTGTGGTTCTCTGGTATGGACAGGGGAGAAGGAGAGTGTCCAGACTCTGGCTGGGCACTGACCTTCCCTGCCCTCTGAAGATGATGTGGGGCAAAGCCAGTTTCTCCAGCCCATCAGTCCAGAGGGACAGTTTGTTGGCTAGGAAACAAAGGTCTTGGTCAGGGATATCTTGCAAGTCAGCAGGAGCTTCCCTTTCCCTGCAGTGGATTCTGGGCCCAGGCACACATTTATAATTTGGACAGCCTCTGACATGGGCAGGTGATCCAAGGATGACAAAAATCTAATCACTTGTACGTCCAAAAGCAGCTCAGTCCATGTTCCTGGAAAACCTTCATCTTGAGGAATAGCTGTGTTTTCTCTGGCTGCTGTCCTCCACACTTTGGATATATCAAAATATCCAAAGTGAGAAAGCAATGCCTGAGCACTCGGCGTTGCTCAGCATTGGGGTGGTTCATCCTCTGCAAGAAACGACACAGGGAAAGGGTCTGGAAGCTCCACACTGCAAGAGATGAGTGCTGTAGGAGCAGAGAAGGGATTGCCTGGAGCAGCATCTCCCCCAGTGTCAGTGGGCACCCCCCTTCCCACCCCCTCCTTTCCCGCTGATCCAGGCTGGGTGGCTGGTGCCGAATGCCCGGCGGTTGCTACAACCAACAACCAACAACAGTGTCACTAAGGAACTCCACCACTGGGATCCAGTCCAAGCAGGTCCCACGGAGTATTCTCAGTTTCCAGACAGGAAACCCAGCCGGGCTCGGGTGCCCTGGCGGTGGGTGAATCCCCAAGGCACGGATGTGCTGCTGGGTTTGGGGCAGCAGGGCTGGAGCAGAGAGGGAAGAAAGCAAGGCCGGGAGCTGTGCAAGGGCCAGGGTTTTCAGAGCTGTTGGGTTGTGGAAAGCAGCGCTGGCAGGCTGCTCCCCGCGTGGGAGGACTGGCACAGAGGGACGAGCACGATGAGGCAAGTCATGGTGAGCATTCTTGCCTTTGGTGGGGCACGGTCAGAGCCCTCCCCGGCACGGGAATGCCGGGAAAACCAACTAATTCCTCATGCAGGAGACAGGGATAAGTGTGCTCAAGAAAACCCTGCAGTTTTGGGGACCTTCCCAGGCTGCTTTTAATGTGTCCACTCCAGGAGACTGGAAAGTTGGGTGATTTCAGAGAAAGAGCTGAAATAATGGCAAGGTGTCTGCATGGCTGCACTGCCTTGTGTGCAATGGTCTTCAGGATCCAAAGCAAAGGAAAACCAAAATGTCCAGATCATTCTCTTTACAGATGGGAAACTGAGGCACAGGGCATGCCATGAATTCCCTGCGTGCTAAAAGCAGAGCTGGGGACTGAGCCCTGGGGTGCTGGGTGCTGGATCAGCATCTGGCTCTGGCATGGGATCGGTTAATTTTCTGCTTGTGCTGGTGACCACATGTGTTTATAGGCCTCAAACCCCGTACCATAATCAAAATAAAAATAATTTGACCTGAAAGAAATGTTTTCTTCATACCAGGAGGGATATTTAGGCCAGGCAGGAGGGAAGGGAGCCGCTCCTGGAAGCAATTACATGGCCACATAACTGGGCTAATTAAGAAAGAGACCTAAATGTTAAAGTTAAGCTGGGAGGGAAAATAGTTGGGAAAACATTGCCTTTAATTCCTCAGAATCCTGGTTGTGTCTTTTCTGTCTGCAATTCCCATAGCTCAGAGAGGGGAGGTGAGCCCACATCCCTCCCCTTATTACTTACTCATGTGGCACCAAACCAGGCAGGCTTCAACTTCAGGCAGAAACCAAACCATGAACATGGTTGTCATTGAAATAGCAACAATTTTTAAAAGCCACAGCACCACAGCAATCCTTCTGCTCTTTTTAAATGCATGCCAACACTCTGCTTTGTGCCTCTTTTCTTCTGAACTGGGTATGAACCTGGCAGGTCACACTCAGGTGCGTGTGTGATGGTGATGTGTCATTTAATTATCCCATGTCTGGAGGCAGGTGAGGTGTGAAGAAGCTGGTTTCTCTTCGTCACCCCAATCAAGGAGAGTTTGGGTGCCTGGCCTGCAATCTCTGACCTCCTTAACATGAGGACATCAGCCATCCTCCCATTTCAGTGTAGGGCTTGGGCTTCTTTTCCAATCTCAGCTTTTATTCCCTCTTTCCACATAAAGCACAAGCCCAAAGAGGACAACATCCCACCTCCGAGATCCTGGCAGTTGCCCTGACAGCGTGTTAATTAATCTCCTTACAGCAAGCTCTCCTTCCTAGACACAGTGCTCTCCGTCTCACAGCTCCAGGGACCATGTCTGTACCAGCAGGCTGTGATCAGAAATGTCTGGAATCAGGTTTTTCCACCAGTTGGGAGGTTTCTCAAAGACCTGGCTTTCTTTTCCTGATGTGGGTGCACCTAAAATATACAAGAGATGAGAAATGTCGCAAAGGTGATGGGAGGTGGCTTAGACCCCACGTGTTCTTCAGGCTGAGCTGATTTTGACAGGAATGGGTGGTTTCAGCCTTTGCAAGGCACAAGGAAAAGCATCTCAGGGTACTAGGTGATAAAAACAGATTTTCTAAAATAAAAGCAAACTCTGCCTGGGATGCTGCGTGGCAGAGAGACCCCCTCGTACTTTTCCTCTCCCATGATCTGGTGCAATTCCTCTCCAAAGGGACTTGATATCTCCCACCTCCACATCTGCTACTTTGTGGCATCTCCGTGTCAACGTTTCCCGGGATCCGGGGTGCCGTGTGCTGAAACGCCTCGTGGCAGCGCAAACACTGGCTTTGGTGGCTTGTCTGAGTCATCTCCGGGAAGCCGAGCCATGGGCCGGCCCTGATGTTGGCGTGTGCTGGCTGAGCAGATTGTGTTCCTTCACACAGGCTCCCGGGAGCTGCACGGGAGACACAACATGTCTGTCACACCGGCGGCCGCCCGGAATGGGAGTTTGGAATCGTCCCCGGCTGCGGCGACGCGAGCCCGCGCTATCTCTTCCCCATTCTGCTTCCTGCCTTCTAAAATTTTGATGGGATCGTCACTGAGAGATTTTAATTTGTGTTAACACAGTTCTAAACACAGCTGTCCTTTATACAGGTTTGCTTTTCAAATGGACCATTTATATTTTTATATATAGAGAGAGAAATGTATGTATTTAGGGTTCAAGGCCTGGTTGGACAGGGCTTGGAGCAACCTGGTCTAGTGGAAGGTGTCCCTGCCCATGGCAGCAGGTTGGAACTCGATAGATTTAGGATCCCTTCCAAACAAACCATTCTATTTTTCTATGATATATCTATATCTATAAACATAGATATATAGATATAGATATTTGTTCAACCCCAACCATGTTCCCTCCAACACTAACCCCAAACAGGAGTAGCCCTGGCTGGAAATGGAGGATGGTCTTGCAG